TGAAAAAAATAAATAAAAAACAGCACCAAAAACCAAAAAATCTCATTATTACGATTCCGTTCAAAATTTGTTTATTTCTTTTTTAAATATTTCTATGTAAATTTTTTAAACTTATACCGTTTTGTCATTTGAGGGGATTTTTTCAAAAAACATCTTTAAGAAACTACTTTTATTGATAAAAAAAAACTCAATTTTTGGAGGTATTTTCAAATCGGTCCACCTCGCTTAAATCTTAGTATTTTTCCGAAATATTTTGGTGGACTTCTTAGAATGTAATATATTTTATAATTCCAATGGAAAAACAGTACAAATTTTTTTTTTGTATGGGGAGTGATGCAGTCTAATGTACATATGTACATTTGTAGTTGGAAGGGAGTAAGCACCTATGTATAGCCAACTTTCCGTTTGCATTCGTGTGAAAAATTATAGGTATTTTTCAGCATTCTCCCCATTTTACATAATTTTTGTCTGCCTAATTTAAATTCACTTGCCGATAGTCGATTGTGAGGAGCATATTTTGAGGCACTTATGTACCATAGGTATCTATCGTTGGGCACAAGCCTTTTTATGTATATAGATACTTGTCTGTCAGTGGCATTGACAGTGCCGAGAAACGTTGCTAAGCTAGCTGTGCATTGTACTCCTTAAATTCAGCTGTTACCTAGCTTCATTTCGTTTCGTTTTGCAAGTTGTCAAAGCAGATGTTCAGCCTTGCACATCGATGCTTACCACCAGAATGAAAGCTTCCTTTCGCAGTGACGCTTTGTTGGAATTTTCCTCATCATTAGGTTTTTGCAGTACTTTATTTTTTTTATGAAAATTTTTCATTTCATTTTTGCTCTTTGTTATGCATAAATATGAGTATACCATAAGTTTTAAAGGACTTTTTTTCGATTTTGAAACTTTATTGTGCAAAATTGGTACACTATATTTTATTGGGAGTATTGCCCATCGCTAGCTATGACTTTTCCAACTCTTATGGCAATGCATGAATCGCGCGCCAATAAAACTGCTCGCCTATGAAAACCTTCAACTGGAGTAAGGCTTAGTCCCGTAAGAGAGTTCTACATCGACCGGGACAAATGGTAGACTGTTGGTACAAGGTCTGAGCTATAAGGCGAATGGGTGAAGACTTCCTTTCCAGTACCATCGAGCGGTGTAACGGTAGAAGATTTATGATTCATGTCTGGCTACTCATTCCGGCCGTTTTTCCGCAATCGCTCGCTTCAATCGCAACAGTTGCTGTCTGTAGAGCAGTGTTGCCGTTTTGATACATATGTATCCAATTGGATACATTTTCGCCTAAAATTTTTAGGGATACTTCGTTTTTTTTCCTCACTGTAAATTTGGATACCCATAAATATTCGTAAGTTGAAGGATTTTTTTTTTTATTTATGTACGAGCTATTATAACATTATTACCAGTTGGCTGCTCATCATCTAAGCAAGGAGATTTCCTACATTCTTGTCATTTTGAAAAATTAATTTTTTAACTACATAAACGTGTCTTTAATAACACCAAAAAGTTTGCAAATTTTAAAAAGTTTTCCGATCTGTAGTAGTTTACTGTAATGCGAAAAAATCAGCTTTTATATCCCGAGCAACCCTTCTCTTAGCATTCAAAGGAAATTGACAACCATGCCGATGACTAATTTTCAACAATAACTTGACTGTACTAAAAATAACTTATAACTTCTAAATTTTCAGTTATATGTCGTTAAGCGAGAATTCAAACAAGCCGGAAATAGAAATTTTTCTTGAAGGTGGAATTTACAGATAAATACAAGTTTTTGAACATTTTTTTAATTTCATAGATAGCTCCCAACCTACCAGTTTGATTGAGAAACGTTGTAACCATAATATCAGGAAATAAAAATTTACTGAATTAAATGTAACAAGTCCAAATTTGTTTAAATTAGTATTATTTTGATAGGCTAAGAAACATTTTTTGCATGTATTATTTGTGGAAAGCTAATCGTAGTAATAAACATGGATCATGCGGAAACTTTAGCCCGTAGTGGTAGTCAGTATTTTTCCATTCTTAGACACAGATTATAGTCAAAATTAAGTCGATCTAAAGTTAGTTGCAGCTTTTTTGGCAGGTATCCCATTCAAAATTATGTCAAAAAGCGGCAACTATCGACTTCAGGAGCTTTGTTGTTTTAAGCAAAATGATTGCCTTGGACAATTCGTGGAATGTAATCTTAGTTCCTGTATATTGGTCTCGGTTCTTCTTCGTCAAACGCATGTCTAGCAGTTCAAAATAATATCTCGACGTCTGTTACCACATTTCCATTTTTGAAAGAACCAGCCTCGGTCTTAAAAGCATTTCAATGCCGCATTCCTGAATGCCAGAATCGCGAACATTTCGCACTCACACCTTCGCTTTCTCTTCGTTTGATACGTATTTCTCTCCAGCTGTGTACTTATTTATATCCGGACGATGAGAAGTGGCTTATTTAAGCAATACTGAGAGTCGGATGCGAAAGTTCTCAGCTGTCTGTTTCGATTGCAGCTTTTCGGCGTATTGTGGAATGATTTTCCGTCATCCCTTGTAAAATTAATTTGGTTTGGAGACAACCCGGTTTCGGCGTTGTGTTATCTTCGGTGTCCTTTTTCGCAGAGAAGTCCATTGCCAAGTCGGCAAAATCACGATGAGACTAGACTGTAAATGTATTCGCTTTAACAAGGCATCCAGTTTACATCCAACGGTAGTGTTAAAGAGACACTTTTAAAATAGGTATTCCACTTTTTTTTTTAGCAAAGAAATATTACACACTTCTCCCATACTCCCTCAAACCAATCGATTTCTTCTATTTATTTTTTTGGTGAATAATATTTGATGGGCGGACCGCTTTAAAGGGTTCTTTCATTCCTACTCGAAAGAAGAATCAAAACTGGAAGGCATTTTTCACATAAATTTTAAATTTTGCAAAATTTTCGAGGTTTTTGGGAAACCAAAATTATAAAAAAAAATTATTCGTAAATCATTTCGATCTTTAATACGTCCGCTCCATTTTCCCCTAACTGCATTTCAATTATTCGTAGCCGCACTTTTTTGACCTCGAACTCGAACTCGAACGCCTACAAAATTTAACTTGTCTATTTGTTCAATTGTTTTCAATGCTCTTATTATTTTTAATTGTCAATCGACACTTAACCTACGATCTTCTCAGCTTGCGATCGGTTAAATTAACCAATTGACCCAAGGTATTAACTGAGCAGCAGCCTAAACCAAAGTAGGCGATGAGTAAGCGATGTTTCAACGTAATATGAAACCAGAAATAGAGAGATAGATGATTAAATAATAAGTAAAAATAAAAGTAAACACTCATTCTTTTGACTAAGTAAGTTAAATAATAAAACCAGTTTTAAGGCAAAAAATTTTAACGGACATTTCAAATACAAAAACCTCTCTACTTGTGCAGCGCTGATCAGCTGCTTATCTGGTTGGTTGGCTCTGCTTTGGGTATNCAAAAAATTTTAACGGACATTTCAAATACATAAACCTCTCTACTTGTGCAGCGCTGATCACATACATTTGCCGCTAGTGCATGTTGCGCGAGGGGGCAACGAAAGTGCTCCGATGAGCATGGAAGAGTATGGAAAAAGCACTACCTAGAATGTTGAAAGTATGAGAATGTTGGAGCACTTGGTTGCTCAATAATACATGACGCTCCACAGTGCATTTTAGATGACAGTTGTGCTCTGTGTAGAACTACATACATACATGTATGTGTACTATTATGTATTGACTTATTGAAGCGTTAATTTGTTGTTTTTCAGTTATGTAGGTAACAGCTCAGACGCCTAGGTACTTATCTCAAAACTAACAAGTCGATGTCTCATACATACGTATGTATGTATGTACATACCTCGTTAGAACGAAGAGCGCACANACCGGTTTTCGTATGGGACAGCTTTGCAAACCGTGCAATCCGTGCACCTTCCAAGGGCTTTGCAAGATTCAGAGAATACCCCTAATGATTCATAGCCGCACTTTTTTGACCTCGAACTCGAACGCCTACAAAATTTAACTTGTCTATTTGTTCAATCGTTTTCAATTCTCTTATTATTTAATTGTCAATCGACACTTAACCTACGATCTTCTCAGCTTGCGATCGGTTAAATTAACCAATTGACCCAAGGTATTAACTAAGCAGCAGCCTAAACCAAAGTAGGCGATGAGTAAGCGATGTTTCAACGTAATATGAAACCAGAAATAGAGAGACAGATGATTAAATAATAAGTAAAAATAAAAGCAAACACTCATTCTTTTAACTAAGTAAGTTAAATAATAAAACCAGTTTTAAGGCAAAAAATTTTAACGGACATTTCAAATACATAAACCTCTCTACTTGTGCAGCGCTGATCACATACATTTGCCGCTAGTGCATGTTGCGCGAGGGGGCAACGAAAGTGCTCCGATGAGCATGGAAGAGTATGGAAAAAGCACTACCTAGAATGTTGAAAGTATGAGAATGTTGGAGCACTTGGTTGCTCAATAATACATGACGCTCCACAGTGCATTTTAGATGACAGTTGTGCTCTGTGTAGAGCTACATACATACATGTATGTGTACGATTATGTATTGACTTATTGAAGCGTTAATTTGTTGTTTTTCAGTTATGTAGGTAACAGCTCAGACGCCTAGGTACTTATCTCAAAACTAATAAGTCGATGTCTCATACATATGTATGTATGTATGTACATACCTAGTTAGAACGAAGAGCGCACTTGAGTAGAACAGAGTGTCAGTGAGTAGGGTAAATAGGGCCAAATAACCGACTGTTTATTTTGTTTGGAAAACCGGCTACAAGTGTACTCTCCATGCGATTGCCATGAATAAGAGCGGGCGTGAAGGGACGGTACTTTCTGTAAAAAAAAAACAATATTGAGTATAAAAAATATACGGCAAATTATAAAAAAAAAAATTATCAACTCCACAGGTCGTTCAATTTCGTTTCATTTTTATACCCACAGCGAGTACTGGTGAATCAGTTTGAAAGTGAAGCGCAAACGAATCGAAAGCAACAAGTTGCTGTTGTCGCAATAGCCCCAACACCATCGCCGTCGCTTTCGTTGTTGTTTGGTTGGTAAACTAACAGTTGGTAGCTGGTGTTGTTGTTTGTTGGTTGTGTGCTTGTCAACGTAACGTTCGTGCAAACAAAAACGTAATACCATTGTGTGCTGGTTAAGTCCGTTAAAGTCTTTCTACACTTTTTTTTTTGTTTCTTTGTTTTGTTTTTTTTTGCTTCTTGCTCTGCAAATGCAGGTTAAAGTGTACACATACATACATAAATGCACTTTTGTCGGACACAAAGTGCGGCTTTTGCAAAATGCTGTGTCGTGGATTGTGCATTTTTTTATGGNTTTCGTTTCATTTTTATACCCACAGCGAGTACTGGTGAATCAGTTTGAAAGTGAAGCGCAAACGAATCGAAAGCAACAAGTTGCTGTTGTCGCAATAGCCCCAACATCATCGCCGTCGCTTTCGTTGTTGTTTGGTTGGTAAACTAACAGTTGGTAGCTGGTGTTGTTGTTTGTTGGTTGTGCGCTTGTCAACGTAACGTTCGTGCAAACAAAAACGTAATACGATTGTGTGCTGGTTAAGTCCGTTAAAGTCTTTCTACATTTTTTTTTTGTTTCTTTGTTTTTTTTTTCTTCTTGCTCTGCAAATGCAGGTTAAAGTGTACACATACATAAATGCACTTTTGTCGGACACATAGTGCGGCTTTTGCAAAATGCTGTGTCGTGGATTGTGCATTTTTTTATGACATTTTTACAATGTCAAGAAATAGTGCAGTTGCAGTGTATTTTTCCAATCTATTTTGTAATTACAAATGAAACGTGACGTATGGCTGTGTGATGACGTTACGTACGATTAAACACAATTGTTGATGAATCACAAAAGAAAATGTGACCGCGAACTTGTGTTGCTAACAAAGCAAATGCAGTGCATTTTAGTAGAATAAAATTGAGAATAAAAATAAAAAAGAAATTAAGCGAAGTTAAATAAAAAAACCTTACACAAAATAAACACAAATTAAATTAAATCTAAAGAAAGATTTAAAGAAAAGAAGTCACATTTCACCAATAAAAAAAATGAGACTATACATTGCAAATTAAAATAAATTTGACTGCCTAAGTGAGAAGAAATAATGCGCCTTAATATATATAAAGGGCCAAATAGCACTAAATTTTTGCAGGAAATATTGACCAAACCACGTGATTAGGTACAGCTCTCGATCTATATTTGATGAACAGAAGTGAAAAAGCGATATTATCAGTTCTCATACAGTGTGGGCCAAATAAGACCTACCATCCATAGTTCATAGGTCTNTGTGACCGCGAACTTGTGTTGCTAACAAAGCAAATGCAGTGCATTTTAGTGGAATAAAATTGAGAATAAAAATAAAACAGAAATTAAGCGAAGTTAAATAAAAAAACCTTACACAAAATAAACACAAATTAAATTAAATCTAGAGAAAGATTTAAAGAAAATAAGTCGCATTTCACCAATAAAAAAAATGAGACTATAAATTGCAAATTAAAATAAATTTTACTACCTAAGTGAGCAGCAATAATGCGCCTTAATATATATAAATACATTGAAAGGGCCAAATAGCACTAAATTTTTGCGGGAAATATTGACCAAACCACGTGATTAGGGACAGCTCTCGAAAGAAAATAATAATAAATGAAAAGNCCTAGCAGTGTGCGCAGTCGCTCCATCTTGTTGGAACCACAAATTAGGATTCTGCTCTGCCATTGGCCGCAAAAAGTTTTTAATCATTATTCTGTAAGAAGCCACAGAAATTTTTTCTGGCGTTTCATTCTCATAACTTTTTCCGCCATAATACCGCACCAAACAGTGCACCTCAAAAATAAATTTGTGTGGCTAATTGTATCATGATTTCCCTAGAGATTAACTATAACATGCAGAAAGAAAATAATAATAAATGAAAACNATAACTGTGTAGAAAAAGATCACTGTGCCACCAAAGTAAAGAACCAAATTAAGACTAGTTTTGTCCGGTGGATTACATTTCACGGTTTGTTAGGCTAGGCCGGCTAGCCACCTACCAGCTTCTCAGAGACTATTCATTGCGTTACTGACAAACTACAACCAGATAGCTTAGCTAATCTCTGGGAATAGGAGCTAAGTTACAGACGAAAAACATTGCAGTTTACCTGACAAACTGAAACAACTGTTTGTCCACAGAATCACAGCCCACTAAGAAAGGATTTTCACAGAAGATGTGCTCACCGACTCAGCCATCTGCTGACCTCACGCCAACCTTCGACCTCCATCCGAGTTATATTCGCTCCAAAGCGCAGATCCGGGATCGTGAAGCTCTGCTATATAAACAGACAATTTTCTAATTGATCTGCAGTCAGTTCATAATTTTTAACTCATGACAGATTATACATTTACTAAGTCTTCAATGAGTCTAAATTGAAGTATTTACGGCTACAAATTTTGGGTCACTATTATAGTACCCTAGCAAGAATGCACGCACTGGTATTTTGAAATGTTATCTGGAGGTTATAATAAGTGTCCAGGTTCTCGATCACACCAATGATTTTTGTAACCCTCGAAATAAAACGAAAATTAACATAGATCGGCGATGTCTGGCGATTGCCGCTGTGATAGAATTATTGGGTATGACATTTTATGTCTTCAGTTCACATTGAAATGAAGGAAACTTTTCAGACAAATTGAGACTCATGTAAAGCATATATGAACATAAGACCGTACACTCAAAAAAAAGTTGCATCAGCACGATGCTATTTAGCCGTCAACGTGGAACTTTCGAAAAACCTATTTTTCCTCATAAATCATCTTATCTAAATGACTGTTTCCGTTGTCACATTGAAACCAAAAAAAAAAACCAAAAAAACTACACAGATATCGATTATATTAATACCGAAACATGATACTGTTTAAAGTTTCAATTTAATACAACTTGTATTAAACCAATAGTGATTTTTTTTTTGAGTGTACCACGTTACAAGCAAACAAAGAAAAGTTAACCGTACACCCAGTACACAAGGCAATTTCGACATTTTTTCCGAACCTTGGGGTTGCCTTTTTAAATTTAACTTATAATTCGACATTTACAATCGCTTCTTGATTCTTATTCCCCGAAATACCGCCCTAATGTCAGTAAATTAACGCTTGCCAAAAGTTATTAAATTTATACGAGTAGAACTATTAAAAAAAAAATTATTGCCGAATGTAGGAGTCACACATCCTGTTCAATAGCCATACTCTTATGCTGCACAGTGAAATTTGTAAATGCCAACGCTTAAAAATCCCTAATAGAATTTTTTGTAATTAATTTTATTATTAAAATAAAAAAAAATACAGTAATTACATATTTTATCATTTTTGCATAATTTCTTCACTTGCGTATAGTTGCACCCTAAATAAAAAAATTGAATTTTTCACTGTGTTCTTAAAAAGTGTTTTAAAACTAGAATACAACAAAAAGATATTTTTTAACAAAAGTCTTAATATTCTCCTCTCATTTTAGCAACGTTTGTGCAAAAAACTAACTAAAATTAAACGAACTAAGTATTCAACTAACGACGGAAATTTGTGTTCAAACTGTTTCCGAAAAAAAAAAAAATAAATTTCAAAAGTATTATTACTGCGACTGCATTTCGAATACGTTTAAGCATACCAAAGACAATTAACGCCGAATTCTTGTCAAAAATTTACGCAAAATAATACCACAAAAAAAAACTTAAATAGATATACAACACATGAAATATGCCTTCACCTACAAAATCGTTAAATCAACGTGATCGTATACGCGATCCGCGCGAAGATATTCTACTCGAAACAAATTTCGAAGATGATGGCATACTGACGCGTGCCTACAACAACAATCCATACAATAATGGCACAGCAATACATAATCGACGACGCAGTACCTACCGTTCAGATCACTCCTTGGACCGTTACACGGAACGTGGTGGCGAAGAAGGTAAATGCAAAACAAAGGCATTTCGTATACACACTCGTACTTAAAAAAAAAAAAAAAACACGAACTAGATTTTGATGCAACGTATTGAAATAACGCACACTACATACTGCTTAAGGCTCAAATGCATTTTGTTAAATGTATATTTTTTCTTTTTTTTTTCTTAATTGTGTAATACAAAAAGCGCGAAGTTACTTTGTAATCTGGCACTTTAGTATTAAATGCAAAATAAAATGTGCTAATATTTTACGCTTTGCAACGTCACATTTCTGCTTTTTATGATTTTTTATTGTTGTTGTTATGCTTGCGACCTTCTCTTGACCCACTTGATCGCTGCTTGTCTGATGGTGATCAAAGTTTACGCTGTCGATGTGAGTATTTAATGGTGAACTACTTTTCTTTTTGTGTTACAATTTAACGCTTGTCACTGCAGTTAATAGGTTAATTAGGCTTTTGTCCTATAAAGGAGGGAGGCTAGTTAAAAAAAAATACATGAAAAAATACACATATATATTGTACATTAGGCATATGACTTTTTTCTAAAATTAATACATACACTCACGGCAAAAAATATTGGCACAGAGAATTTTTCACGATATATGCAAGAATTTTTATAGAGGAGAAAAACCAGCAGAAATAAGGTTGTTGTAAAAATTTGGAAAAATTCAGCATTTCCAATCTGACATGGCATTTGTATGACAAAATGGAAAAGTAAAAATTTTAGAGCGGTTTTTTCTATATTTGCATAGTAATTAAGTAAAAAAATTACAACAATTGGTAGTAGAGATTTAAAGTATAAGAAAATATATGCGCTTGCGTGACGTTACAAAATACAGAAGTGGGTTTTGACTTGGGTTACACAATTGCAATTGGTAAAACTACTTGTATAAATACTTTCGTAGTAAATTTTTTTAATTTTCCATAGAAACCAATTTTTATTTGCCGTCATAATTCGGTTGACAAGGAATTATCCATATATCGATGGCTGAGTGGGAGATCGTCCAGCCAGTTCAAAAGGGCCCTATCTCAGAAAACTTTTCAAGAACGACCTACATACTTCAGAATTTGATCGAAAAACGCCCAATTTCCGAATTATGTTGAAAAACACCCTATCTCAGAATTCGGTTCAAAAACGCCCTATCTCAAACGAAAATACATCGGAAAAAAGCTGAAGTAGGACGTTCTTGAATCGGCAGCTTAGATAGTGCGTTCTCCAACCAAATTCTGAGATAGGGCGCTTGTCGGTGATATTCTGAAGTAGGATGTTCTTTAAAAGTTTTCTGAGATAGAGCGCTGTTGAAAAACTTTCTGAGATAGGACGCTTTCGAACTGGCTGTCAAGTTAGGTCGATCTTTCACTCAGCCATCGATATGTACACATTTTTTTTCTCGGAGTTCCCTCCGTAAACTTTTTTTTACAAAATTTTTACAAAATTGTAATTTTTGTTGGTTTTTCATCACTGCTCAGAAGTAGAAGAAGTTTTAGAAAAGAGTCATGTGCCTAATGTATGTACATACATTTTTACAAACATATGTATTCACAAAGCATATACTACTGTTTTAAGTGCATTATTTTTATTAGTTCCCCAAGCGTAACATAAAAACCATAGCTGTGAACTTTCCAAAGTTCTAGTTTTCTTCATTTATTTTTTGTGCTTACATTTTGCATTGCAATTTTTCCACCTTATTGCTCTCGTTCTATGTGCCCATATTGTCTATTTTCCTTTTAATTTCTTTGTTTACTCCATTCTTTGCTTTTTCAAATATATTTTTCCCTCTCAATAGTCATCTACCAACTCAAAACTCATTTACGTTAGACCTAAATACTCATCGTCCCATATCTTATCATCGCATTAGTTATCGCTTGCTACACAATCTCAAACGAACTCAGTATATTTCGTCATCTGTGTTTACTCCCCAAAAGTAAAATTATTGTTTGTAGCTACAAGTGTTCCCAGTGGGAAAACGGCTAAAGCGTTATCTTCATCAAACAGAAAGCGATTAATTTTTGCTACAGAACGTAAGCATACACCCAAAAGTAAGTGGAAAGGTAATAAGCACGATAACGTGTGATGAGTTCGCCGCCAAAGGACTTAATGAATTTGAAGTATAGCTTTATATTTTTTGAATTTTTCAATCTAACCTTTTTAAGTAGAATGCAATGTTTGCATTGCGAATATAAATATCTACGCCACTGAAAAAATACTCTTTAAATTGCTCATCAAAATAGTTTTCAACGGCCGCCTTCATCCCACTGTTGTCCGAAAATAATCGCCCCCGTAGCTTCTCTTTTAAATTGGTTGTTGTTGGTATGGTTTTGTGGTTTGTCCATGCGGTAGCTATTAATGAACCAAAGAAGAAAGGTGGTTTAAGAAAAATAGTGCCCTTACATTCAGTGATACCGCTCAGACCGCTTCCCACCCAGCACTTAGGTCAATCGATGCAAATCCGCGAGCCAGTCATCAAGTTACGAAGGCATCTAATTTAAATCAACGAGAGTTCTTTAGGGTTGCTTGTGAAGTGCGTATCAAGATACCTTAACCTTGTAAAAGTTGGATAACCAGAAAGAAAGTGTCAAGTTGATTCGACCTAATTGTCCTCTAGGCAACTGCAGAAGTAAGAATCAGATAGGATTTTTAATTTAATAACCTGCTTAATTTAATACCTGTTGGTGTTGTCAACTACGGTACTTGATCAAATTTGTGTCTAACTGTAAAAGTGTTTGAATACTCTGGAATTCTTGGAAGCTTATACTACTCCACTTACAGAACAAAAGGGAAGAGTAGGTGACTGAAACAGGACCAATGAATTTGTTCACAGTTGCGTGAAAACGTAACGAAAAGGATTATTGACGATGTCGTCTGTTGGGAACTCTCCTTACTATTTTTGTGTGTTTCAGGCACAAGTTATGGAAAATTGTATGTTGCTAATTGCCGAGATAACTCCATATTAACGAGTTAATCCTGATCAAAGATGCCGTCTGTCTATGATTTTACTTCAATTTATCTCTGCTCTTTTCCGGTCGCAATATTACGACAGACAAAAAAAATTTGATTTGTGTCTTACTGCTTCTTCTGTATACGGTTTATTCCTTAATCAGGCTCAATGAAGTTAGGGCTCTCACTGGGTTCGCACAGCTAATCGAAGGATAATCAGTTGGAGTAATCACAATCGCGGTTGACACGATCATAAGTATAAGCTATGAAGTTGAATTATTTTATACTTTTATGTATGCTAATCTGTTCTCATTGGGGTTTGTTCCTAAATACTATAAAGATTGTAAGTTTCTCGTACAATTGGCTTCAGCGTGCTTTGTATTAGTTGTATGCTCGAACGGCTCAAATATTCTTCTTGTACTCGTATATTTGTATTTGAATGTACATTGAGTTGCTTACTCAATGTTCCCTAGCTTGCTAAAATGAATCAAACTACTTAGGGGATAGATGCATTGGACGTTCAAGCTATTCGACTTGGGCAACAGCACAAGTGCTTCAATAGAGCCGCGTATATGAGCACGCAGTAATATACATAATTTATTTTGCTGTAATAATTGTTACATTTGCACTGTGAGAAAAATTTATTCAATGGATTTCATTCGATCGACTCATTGAATGTACGTATTATTAAGATAAAAGTGTATGTTAATTTCTATGTAAATATTAGTTAACGGAAGTAGACAAGTAAATTGTTTTGCACATTAAATAAAAAGTAGATACAATTTTTTTCTCTTGTGATTAATCTTAAAAATGTTACTAATCAGTATTGGACACTAACTATGTTGATACTGAATGACTTTGGTAACAAAAATATTTATAACCACGGAATGTATGTCTGGCAGCAGATGTGCTCAATATGTACTGAGTTTTTATTTTTTATGGATGTATAGGTAGATAGATTTCATGGAGGATGTGCACTGCGACCTTGGGTCTATTGTGGCCTCAAAGCTCATCAGAGAACCTCGTTCAGACCTAGGGCTCTAATGAAACCAAGCAGAGAGTGAATGTACGCACAACTCCTTCAGGTGTGTTAGATTTTTCTCGCAATCGCATCGCACCTTAAAAGTAGATGTAATGCGATTTCTGCTGTCATATCGCAGTAACGACAGAACTCGCCTGCACTAAATAGTCCTCAGGGTGTTCGTATGGGTCCACAGCCTGCAATGACTCCGTTAGTCAGACCAATAAGAAACCATAGGTTTATCTTTTAGACGGTGATTAGTTTCCTAGATCTCTTGTGGTTGTAACTTCTCAAAAGTTCTTTCGCCAGCCTTACTCCGGTGTATTTTCCCAATGTGCTTTTCTGAGCTGACGTTCTTCTGCTTTTAACTCTTCCCTGTTGGGGTGAGGTCCCACTGCCAGGGAGGGTTTTGGTCCTATAGATCGAGTAGCTGCTGCCTCTCTTGTTAGTCTGTGAACCTCTTCGTTGCCCTGTATGCCTCTGTGGTCCGGGTCCCACAGGAGTTGTACTGTGTTGTGTTCCCGCAGGGTGTTCAATCTCGCTACACTTTTCCATACTGCACGTAATTTGATTTTACGCGAGGATATGGCTTTTATTGCAACTTGACTGTCGCTGCAGATAAGAATGTGCTGTCTCCTTAGATTTCTCTGCAAAACGATTTCTGCAATGGCATAAACCTGCGCTTGAAAGTTTCTAGGATAATTCCCCAAGTGAATGGAGATCTTGGCCTTGGGGACTAATATTCCTGCACTATGCCTTCGTCAACGTCTCAAGTAGCACACTAGTGCATAACTTGGTGTAAATTTGTGAATTTTAGTAAAACTAATCAGATTTACCCCGAAATTTGTAAATTTGGATGAATTATTAAAATATGGGTATCTATAGAAATGGGTTTGCAAAGTCTTTATTCCTGACCTTTGTTTAGGAGGGTTGCCATTTGTTCGAATAATCAAATTTAAATTATTTCATCAGTTTATTGAAATACACGTGTATCACAATGTCAGACGAAAGAGATTTAAACAAGATTTTAGTTTGAGAATACTTTTG